TGTCGTCAAAGATCTCTCTTGGAAGTTATTCATAATCCGATGTTTTTCCTCTAAAGACGTCAAGATTTTTCAAATGCTTAAACAAACATCTCGCTCGATACTGTACTTTAGTTCCCCGTTGCTGGGACTCGCCTGTGCGACGTATGGATTCCTCCGAAGGTGATTGTTGTTGTAGTCGAACATCTCTCTTGGAAACTTTTCGTCGTCCAATGTACTTGCGTCAAAGACTTCCAGATTTTCCAAATCTTACTGATCCAGCATCCAACACCAACAACATCCAACCGTCGCAACCAGCATATCTTTCGATGATTTAGTTCTCCATCGCAGCGGTTTCCCTGTTGGACGTATGGATTCGTCGCAAAGGCAAAAAAAGAATGTTATCGTCGAATGTATCCCCGAGAAATTGCTTTCGTCCGATGTATGTCTTCGACTGACGTCCAATCGTCGCAACAAGGAAGCAATTGTATCGTCCAACATCTCTCTTGGGGAAATTTTCGCAGACCAATGTATTTTTTCCATAGACGTCGACAATATTCAAATGCTACTGATCCAACAACATCCAGCTGCCTCTCTTTCGAAACTGTAGTGGCCCACAACATCAGGGATCCTCCGGTGCGATGTATGGGTTCCTTACTCCTCCCAAAGGAATCAACTGTATCGTCGCATGAATCTCTTGGAAGCTTTTGCAGATCAATGTGTTTGTTCCACAGACGTCCGGATTATCCAAATGTTACTGATCCAACAGCATCCAATGGTGGCAAGGAGCATCTCCTTCGAAACTGTAGTGGCCCGGAGCATCGGCCCATCAATGCGTCGCATGGATTTGTATCTCTGACAGAGACTCGTCGTTGCGACTGATGGATTCCTCCAAAGGTAATTGCTTTTGTCGTCCAACGATTCTGTTGGGAGTTTTTGTTGTCCAAAATACTTGCGTCAAAGTCGTGCGTTTTACGTTCAATGTGTTTGATCCAAAGACGTCCAGAATCTCCAAATGTTATTGATCCAACATCCAACAACATCATCCCGTCACCAGAAGCATCTCTTTCGATATTGTAGTTGCCGGTAGCGTCGACTCGCTTTTGTGATGCATGGATTCCTCCTGTCTGTCATGGGAATTGTTTGTGTCGTCAAACATATCTCTTGGAAGTTTTGCCGTCTAAAATAGTTGCGTCAAAGACGTACGTCCAATGTATTTGTTCCAAAGAGGTCCAGCCTTCCAAATCTTACTGATCCAACAACAGCATTCAATCGTCACAAGAAAGCAACTCTTTCGATGTCGTAGCTCCCCGTTGCATCGACTCTCCCTGCCTTGCGACGCCTGGGTTCCTCCGAAGGCAATTGCC